ATATATATATATATATATATATATATATATATATATATATATATATATATATATATATATATATTATACTCTAAATAAACACTTATATATTATTGTTGGCTAATGGACAGTCGAAATTTGCATTTATGTCGGTATCAGGTTTACGAAACACTTGGAGTCTGCTCAAGTTCCGTTCAATATTAAAACTTATATGAGACATTAAACAAACAATTACATACATAAATATATAGCAAGTTACTTCTTTGTGACAAGTACTACTATATGTACTTGACTCCCCTCCCCTCGATTAACTGATTTTTGTTGTTGACTGTAACATCCCAAAAACTCATTTATAATTTTTTTTTAAATTTGAATATAGCATTTCTGAAAATAAGGGTTTCCATCCACAACACTCAAAGCCTTGAAGTAAAACACTGTAAAATGTGGAAGCTAAGTTTTTGTTTTGAAATTTATAACATAAAAGATAAACAAAGACAGATGTCATGCCCCGAGAATTTGCCAGATCCCCTATCATGCCAACTACATGCCCTTCAAACCAAAAGGACCTCCAACTAAAATATAGAGTACCAATTGTAAGCCTAAGACTTAGTGAGTAATCACACAACTTAATCACTATACAAATAATATGAGTTATGAATCTTACACATAAGCACATAACTATACTCAAAACGTATTAACATACTAACATAACCGAATCTAGTCTAGCTGATATAGAACATATATTGACCCTTCTCTCCATGAGACTTGTCCTAGCCATGATTCCACTAGATTCCCTCCAAGAGGTATCTCACTAGTCTAGCAGACATAAAATATATAATCTACATAGTAAGTAAGTTTGAGAGAACTCAACTCAATGACCGATACGACAACCACAACTGGCGAAGCGGTACTGATACGTTATTGAACCACTACAAATATAATTAACTCTAATTCCATAATTAAGGTATAAAATATAACTAACTCTTCTATCGAGCTTTTTACTTTAAACGTCACTCTTTTGGGAAAAAGACCATTTTGCCCTTAATCAAATGGTGTAAGATACACTCTAACTAATAAGTGACAAAAGTCAAACTTGGTCAATGGTCAATAGTCAAAAGTCAACGACTAACAGTCAACACGCCATGGCGAGACCCTTGCCACGCCGTGGTCCAGCTCAGTCAAAACCATTGCCTTGAATCTTCCCAACGTGTCGTGGTTTGCCTGACAGATTCATATCCTTATTCAACTATTAATCCGTTAAGAACATTTCTAATATTTTTCAAAAAGCTCTATGACATCCTAATGGTCCATAAAAGTCATATATTTATGGACATGCATGGCCAATGCATATGCTTCACCAAACTAGGTTAAAATGTTTTTAAAATAGGGTAAAAATCCCATGCATGGCACCGAAACAAGTTGTGAGTCCAGATATGAGATATATAACACTCTTGGGGCCTCAAAGAGTAATAAAGTTGCAAAATTTATTACAACCATATTTTAAAAACTCCACAACATGGAGAAAATAGCTTAAATCTTAGATCTACAAAGAATGAACCAAAGAGTTACAAAATCCAAGACTTACATAAGTCTTGAAAGTTCTCAAAATTCTAGACTTGGCTTGTTTAGAGGTCCTAGAAATCACAAGGCACATCTTCTTCCTTCAAAGAGCATGAAAACACACAAATTGGCTTAATAACTTGAGAAAGATTAGGGTTTTGGCCAAAGGTTCTTTAGAGAGGAGGGGGTTGAGGCTGGAGAAAGCCTAGCCCAACATATTCGTTAAATAGGCTTGTGATCCGAGAGCTAGGGTTTTGAGCCCACAACGGCTACGTATCGCGACCTTTAATGACTACCGCATTGTGGGAACATGTCATTACCATATCGCGTTACGCCAATCATTGCGTTGCGGAGGAGACAAAAGACATAAAACCCAATCTTAAAACTTAAGTAGTCAAAGCATAAATTCATACATGAATTGGGTCTTATAGTTCTCGCTCACTTATTTGGACTTCATCCCCAGATCTGCCTCGCTAAACAACTCCAGATACTGTCTGCACATCTCAACCTTGGGTTTCCAGGTCCATTCCGACCCTTTTTGGTGTTGCCAACACACATTTACTAGTGCAATATCTTTTTTTCCAAAGCTTTTTTGTTTTAAGATCGAGTATGGCTACAGGTCACTCTACATAATTTAACCTCTCATCTACCTGAATATCCTCAAGAGGTAATACAAATGTATTTTTCGCAACTTCCTCAACTATGACACATAAAAGGTGTTGTAGATCTGTTGGAGCTCCTTAGGCAGCTCCAGTCGGTAAGTGGCCTTGCCAACTCAGGCTATGAATCAAGGTCTAATGTATTGGGGTCCCAAATTCCCTTACTTCATGAAGCGAATGATCCCCTTCCAAGGAGGTACTCTTATCAACACAAAATTTCTCACTTGGAACTCGAAGTTTGATCTCTCCCGGTTGGCGTAGCTTTTATGATGACTTTGAGCGGGTTTAAGCCACTCCCTAATTTGTTGAATATATCCAGTGGTCCTCTACACGACCTCTTTGCCTCCCATCTCACACTGACCTACCTTAGCCTAGTAAATCGGGGTTCGACAACACCTCCCATACAATGCCTCATATGTAGGTATTGCAATACCAACATGATAATTGTTGTGAGAAATCTTAACCAGAGGTAAGAAGGTATCCTAAATACCTTAAAAATCAATCACACAATCTGAAGCATGTCCTCTATTCTATGAATGTTTCTATCGCTTTGGCCGTCTGTCTGAGGATGGAATGTTGTATGAAATCTCAACTGCGTATAAAGATCTTCGTGGAATCGCTTCCAGAAATGAGATGTAAATCTGGTATCCATGTCTGACACTACTGATCATGGAACTCCATGTCGCAACACTACTTGCTTCACGTAGATGTATGTAAGATGCTCTACAGATGAATTCTCTCTAATGACGATGAAGTAGGCACTATTTTTTAGGCGATTGACTATCACCCA